TTTATTGCTGCCCTTGCAAAGAATGAAACAGAAAGTGACAGGTAGATAGGACTTGTTTCTTGCTCCAATCAATAAGAAAGCACCCTGAAATCTCACCTCTCTTCTGTCTCTTGCTAGCATCTGGGGTGCCACTGACTGGCCAGTATCTGGTCCTGGGTGAGCCATCCGCTGAGCCACTGCGGGGGGCAGGGAGGGCCTGGGCACTGCAGGTGCTACCCCAACACAACTGAAATGTGGGTACACAAACAAGGAGCCGCACAGGTGCAACTTAATTTCAAGGTCCATTAGCAGCACAAAGCGGGGAACCGTACTTTCAAATGCAAGCCCTGGAACTCAGCAGGGACTTTTTCAATTTCCACATGGTAAGAATAATAATTATGGTTCTTTTTATTGAGGAGAGCATCCAAGTTCAAATACACTGCACTTCTAACCCAAATACTAGAATATATTACATGTTGCAACTGATGTTTGCGAAATGTAAGACCCCATAACGTTCAATTTGGACTAAGTATCAGAAAATGGCCATTAGAACTGTGTCTGCACCTTTGATTTCGTGATTGCGTTTCCCAACTGACCTTGCAATTGTAAGTGGTCAGAACACAAGGGGATGCTAGCATTACGCTGTGCCTTTCAGAGGACCGTCAATGCTGGCCCCTTATTCAGCTGATGCTGAAGGACAAAAACTGGTTTTCGAGAGTGTAAATAAATGCACACCCACACCGACACAGCACAGAGCTCTGCAACGGGTGCCCCCCTCCCCCAAATATTCCACGTCCTCAGAAGGCTCAGAACACAGAACCATCTAGGGGAAGCTCGGTCAGGCCGGATAAAACCAGAGTCCTGCTTAGGTGGTGTCTGCTGAGGTCTGAGAAAGGGAAATAAGATACCAGGTCGCACTTCTAAGCAAATCCCCATGAGTATAAATGGAGAAGAAACTATAAACAGAAACCCCTTGCAGCAGTGAAACCAAATGCTCTCTCCCTGCAGCAAAATTACTGAGGACCTTCAACAGGTCAGCTTTGAACAAGACGCTACGGGCAACACAAGGGTAACCGTGGACCCATCAGTCCCAAGGTNAAAACTGGTTTTCGAGAGTGTAAATAAATGCACACCCATACCGACACAGCACAGAGCTCTGCAACGGGTGCCCCCCTCCCCCAAATATTCCACGTCCTCAGAAGGCTCAGAACACAGAACCATCTAGGGGAAGCTCGGTCAGGCCGGATAAAACCAGAGTCCTGCTTAGGTGGTGTCTGCTGAGGTCTGAGAAAGGGAAATAAGATACCAGGTCGCACTTCTAAGCAAATCCCCATGAGTATAAATGGAGAAGAAACTATAAACAGAAACCCCTTGCAGCAGTGAAACCAAATGCTCTCTCCCTGCAGCAAAATTACTGAGGACCTTCAACAGGTCAGCTTTGAACAAGATGCTACGGGCAACACAAGGGTAACCGTGGACCCATCAATCCCAAGGCGGCCCACAGGGTCATCATCACCCATCCGCACCTTTCCCCTCCCCCACGGAGTGCGTGGCAAAGAACCGGAGCCCCAACCTGATCGCTCTGCAACCTAAGATCACGATTCTGGAGAAAAGCAGAATTGGTCCTTCTGGAAAATCAAGGTGTCATTCTGAAAGCGGGTCATTTTCACCAAGACATGCGTAAGTCCTTTCAGAGAGAAAACCTGGAGAAATGGTGATTGGTTGGAGCGTGGGGACTTTTTAAAATCTGTTTTTTCACTTCTTTCATTCACCTTCCTCTTCAATAAGATAAGTAGAGCTCAAGACGCAGTTCAACAGGATTCTTGATTTTTAATAAAGTTCATTTCTGCGTAAATTTCTCTAAGGGGAATATTCATTTTCACATAATAAAGTAGCCCAAGAGTGATAAATTTGGAAAGAAAAGCCATTTTGGATAAAAGCTACATGGAACACAGCTGAACAGAAAAAGGAAAGGGGACACACACACAAACACTCTAATGTCCCCCCAAAAGAACATAAATTTAAGAAACCCTTCTTCAACTGCTATGGTACCCAATTTAGAGGCAGTTTATAGCCAACCAGAAGCTACATCAGCAAGCAATCAGACACAACAGTAAGCAATCAGAAACATCACGAACAGTGAGACAGCAGAGTAAGCAGGAAAGACACTCCAGGGAGAGTGTTTCTGAGCAATCACCATGTCTCCGTGCAGAAAGGCAGGATGAGAAACTTCATGCAACTGGGGCCAGGACCCTATAAAAACTCTCTCTCAGCTCAAGAGCTATTACTCCTGCTATGACAAGAGGGGTGTGAGGACCGCCAGGTGGCAGTGCATCAGAGAGAGGGCACAGAGGCAATGGGGGACTGGTAATAACCTGGGACTGTGAATTTAAGCTCTTGTTCTTCTTTTTCATGCCCTAATCTATAGATATGACGAATAAAAAACACATGTTGGTTATTTGGTGATCTGAGGCCCCGCCAACCTCTGGGGGAAGTAAAAAAGGTTGCCTTTGTTTCACATTGACATCCACTGTGGCCAACACAGAGTCTAGGGAAGGGATGCATATGCACGCACGCACCCAGAGGGAAGAGCTGCTGCATTTAAAAAAATAAAAAATACACAGGTCAACCACAGAATAGACACTCAGACATAGAGAAAAACTTCTTTATTAAACAAGTCATACTGTCAGCTCCTTAGGAACCCCTAAGAAAATGAGACCACATTTTCCCAGACTCACCCATTTCTAATGAGGTGTCTTCTCTATGAGGTGCCAGGGGGTCTTAAGCTGAGCTCAGGGGATTCCAGTCCCAAAGGTCTCCCTCTCCCAAATACTTTAACTCAGTAAAACCTGGGAAACCACTTACTTCTCAGAGATGCTGAAGAGATTAAGTAACATCATGCAGCTCTGAGAGTCAGGAACAGTATCTGGTATCAGTAGGTAGTTGCTAGATGTTAGTTTCCTCTCCTTCCTTCCAACTTCCTTTCTGCGTCACGACCCATTTCTAGTCTGTGTCTCCTCCATGAAGCCCCTATGCCTCAATCCTACCTGCTTTCAAAGCTTATCTTCTGTGAGAAGCCTTCTACACTGACCTTACAGTGACCACAGTTTGTGTTATTTTATACCTGTTATTATTTTCCTAATTGGCCAGTAAAAATCTCAAAGGCATGAAGGGTATCACACACACACGAAAAATACAAAGGAGCAAGAAGGCTATTAAAGGCATAACTCTAAGTTTTCTCCCATGTCCCCAAAAGGAAATAAAACAAAATATTTTGGTTCTTTAAATATTAGTGAAAACATAATCTATGGTATAGCTAAAGAAGCCCCCCTCAGTGCCAATGGCTTAGAGAAATATGCTCAAGAGTTATTTGTTAACTGAGCAAACTAGCTCAATACACCGAGCTGGGATTTCATTTGAAAGTAGCAGCCACCAACTCCCTCCCATGCCACTGCTGGGGGTCTACCGACCACTCTCTACCCTGGGATGTGAAGCCTGGAAGAAGTATCCCTGAGAGCCTGGCTCACAATACGACAGCCAGAGGCAGTAAGATCTCTAATCAGGGGAGAGAATGACAGCAGACATGTTTGCATGGTTCCTATAGGCCAGAGGCAGTGGGAGGCTACAAAGTTAGTGGCAGAGTGCCCCACACTGCCTCCGGAATTGTGCAAATGCAACTGCCATGGAATCAGATAGGAGCATTTCAATAGCATTTCCTACTGGGGATGCAGGTGGAGGAGTGGAGACGGGAGAGGCATGGGTGCTGTTTATTAATAAGCAGCTGAACACAGTGGGAGGTTTTCTTGTCTAATTACAGAAGCTGTTGGAAAGTGCAGGGAAGACAGGATTTATGGCCTAGATGACACTGTCTCTGTGTTGTAATTAAAAGTTATTTTTAATACCTTTGCTTGGCTGGATACTTTGGATTATTAGAAATATATTCTGCAATTTGAAATTTGTTAAAGGGCAAAGAACATAAACAGGTAATACAACAAGCTTGCACAATGTGAAACGATTAAATGTTTTGACACTGAAGGTGGGAAAGGAAAGGAATCTCTCCCAATTAAGCCTGTGCATTTCTGTAAGAAAGGGGGAGAGAGAAACAAGCCAATTAAGTATGCTAAACTGGATTTTTAAAATTTCTGATGTAACCCAGCTATTTATTTTATTCACTAACTGGAGCTTGGATACCACCTACCAGGAGTAAAGAATGGGTATTCACAACCACTCACCCAAAGCACCTGATTCTAACACTCCAGCTCTCTGCTTTTCCCTGAGTCCCTATAAAAGGAGAATGGTCACCCTAACAAGAGTGAGCCCTGACTCAACCACAGAGACCCCGAGGCAGCGATGGGGGTCCAACATGAGCTGTGGTATACATGCTGGGTATGACTTGGGTTTTGTGTTTAACCCACTCCTCTTCACTCAGGCAAGATTCCAGTTTCAAGGGGCCAGACACAACAAACCCCAGTGGAAACCACACAGCTCCGTTCATGAGTGGCTAGAGAATCTGCCCAAGATCAGACAGGGGCCATTTACTTCCGACGTGCCATTTCCAGAATTTATTTCTCCATATATACACAGGAGGCATTGTCTACAATGATGGCTCTTCTTTAACAACAGGGAGGAGAGAATCTATCATATGAAAAAGACTTTTGAAACTGTCTAATGAAAATGGGGAGGAGGAAGGCCCTCTAACTGGCATGAGCTTCCCAGACAACCTCTGTATTTCAACCTCTGTATTTCATCTATACTATGAATCTTCTCATTACAAGCGAATTCCAGGAGCTCATTATGTGAAATACGTCATAGAAACCACCAGCCATCACACATCACGATGAGACTACAAAAGCATTTTAACATCTGTTATTCAAAAATAAATTTAAACTCAGCTTTACAGGGGCCATACCAAGTTTATGGGATTCATCTTATATCGAAAAGAACCACTGTGCTTCTTCATTCTTTTCCCTGTTCAAATCAAGGTTTCACTCCATGCTGGGCTGTAGAATTGCCCTTCTTACCTGCCACATTAATTTTCTCAAGTGCTACCAAGCTGGGAACAGCTGTGGTGGAGTTGGTCGAGTTTGTTCCTGTGCCATTGATCACCAGGTTGTCCACCTTCGACTCTAGCTTGCCAATGCGTTGCAAAATATTATCCAACAACACAGCAAGTGTTTTCTTCAGATCTGTAAAATAAAATGCACACAGTTTAAAAATTCTTTGGCCACTGCGTAGTTGTTCGACGCACATGTTGTTTCTCTCTCTCTGACAAGAACAAAAAGTGGCAGAGTCAAAAAGTACTGCCCCAAGGTATCATAACAATCCACGTCCTTAAAGATGACAGGGGCTGTCTTCAAGAGGTCCAGAAAGCACAAAACAATGTGGTCTGTTCTAGAATCCAAGTTGGGCAATAAATGACATAAATTATTTCTAGCCACTGGGCTAATTGAGAAAGCTCCTTATTACTTAGCATCTTCCCAAAGCACTCTGTTAAATTACTCCTTAGAGCTTGATGGTTACTGATGCACAGAATGACAATCCCCAAGTGCAGGGAGGTCCTGAAGTAGTTTCTGGATCGAATTTGGTGTTACTTTAGTGTCCTACACTACAGTATGTCCAAAGTTTTTTCCAAACTCTTTATTTCTGTTGGTTACATATGGTAACAATAAAAACCAGAGTTCCCAATTTCCAGGCTTGCTATACCCAGTTAACTATAATCAGATTTAGAAAAATACTTAAAGACCAGAGGCATTCATTCATTCAAGAAATATCTACCACACAACTCCCAGGTGCCAGGCACTGCCCTAGGGGGTGGGGATATTCCCTCACAGTGCTTCCATTTCAGAGCCGATTCCCTTTCTTACACATCTGCCTGTGGGTAGAGTAGTACACGTCCCTCCAATGTGTCATCCTCACACATACATCAGCATCCAATGAGCTGGCATATGAGGTATTCCACATGCACACAGAGATGAATCCAGCCCTTCTCCTCTGGAACCTCATAATCAAAGAAAGATGCGCTGACTTGTACATGTGGGAGAGAGCGGAAGGACAACAGGATGGCCATCCATGTGGACAGAATCCAGACTCATTTATGAATTGGGAGCGAGCCAGTGCAGCAGGACACAGTGTGGGTGCAGGATGTAGTTAAGTCCTAAACTGAGACTCATGGGAAGCTACCACCTTCCGTTCTGCCAGGAACAGAGCAAACTTGCCCTGAGCAGGTACTCTGATCTGGCCTGGACACGAGCACACACCTGGGCACAGCCAACCAACCTAGGCCAAGAGGCACTCAGACAGCCCCATTCTGCCAGGTAAGGAGAGAAACTCATCAGAACAGACACACAGATATAATTAGCATGGAAGCCTGTGTTCTCCGTGATTCATGGACATCATCACCGGAGCTGACGAAAAACTACGAACAGGAACAGAACCTACATCCTGATCCTGCAAGTCTGGCCTGATGTGCTCAGCGCTCTCTCATCCCCACCACTCCCAACACCAAACATCTGACTGCTTCACATTATTAAGATCTGTAGCAGTCTGTTCATTCATTAATTCTGACAAACATCTAACCAGGCCTATCTATCTATCTATCTATCTATCTATCTATCTATCTATCTATCTATCTATCATCTATCTATCTATCATCTATCTATCTATCTATCTATCTATCTATCTATCATCTATCTATCTATCTATCTATTTAAATATGTCTTTACTAATCTGAGAGAATGGGAGAGGGAGAGAGAGAGAAACATCAATGATGAGAGAGTCATTGATCGGCTGCCTCCTGCACGCCCCCGACTGGGGGTCAAGCCCACAACCCGGGATGTGCCCTGATCAGGAATCAAACTGAGATCTTCTGGATCCTAGGTCGACACTCACCCACTGAGCCACTATGGGCGGGATGACCAGGCCTATTTTTTGCTCTTCAGTATGTATCTTAACCTGCAAGCAGTAAGGCAAGCTGGCCATGGCATTAGAGCAATAGGGCCAAAAAACTGATGATAACAAAGAAGGGCAGAAGAGAGCTAAGGTTATCTGAAGGCCTACCATGTGCCATGCACATACACTATATACATACAGAGTATTCATACATGTGTGTGTGTGTATATACATGAAATCATGATACCTCCATATTCTCCATGTGAGAGGTATGACTTCACTTTACAGATGGGAAAACTGAGGCACCCAGACATGAAGTAACATGTTCGTGGTTACAGAGATAACTCAGATCTGCCTGATTCCCTGATGCCTCACTGGGACCAGTCAGAAGTCAAGAGCCAAGGTAGAAAAAGAAAACCAAGTGTGAAACCCAGTGTGTTCCACCCACAGCATAGTGGCTGAGGGTCCTGGCTTTGCAGCCAGACTTCCTAGGTTTGCGTCCCCACTCTCCATTCCTGTTCCCTCATCTGCAAGGGAGTGATAATAAAAGCCTGCCTCTTTGGAGTAGTTATGAGGGTTTAATGAGCTAACATTTATAAAATGTTTTAAACACTTCTTGGCACCTAATAGGCACTACGTAACTGCCTGTTAACTATACAAATTAAAAATAAAGGTGTCCTCTAGAATATGCCTCCATCCTTCCTGAGGAAACCTCCTTCTAATGATGCAAAGCTTCATCACCATCCAGAGTCTGAGCCCGCTCCCCTCCAGGGCCGAAGTCCCACGTCAGCATGATTCAGTCTGTCCCAGGCATGTCCTGAGCTGGCACGGTCAGCAGCAGTCGGCCACCAGCTCTGCTCTTACACTGCCACTAAGGCAAGGACGGCTTCTCTAGTGTTCTGCAGACTGCAGAGCCCAGCCACACAGACGGGGCAATGGTGCCACTGAGAGATGGCTGTACTCAGTACAGAGAAACGGCTCCTCAAAAGACACCAATCTCCATCTCCAGCCGCTTTGCCTGTACTGCCAGCCACGGAGTCCCTGTGTAAACTGGCATCAATCTATTACCCACAGGAGCCTGGCCCTGTAGCTTGGATTAGCTTGAGATTTCTCAACTTCAGCTGTATTGACACTTTTGCCCAGATCATGCTTTGTTGTGTGGGGTTGTCCTGTGATCTGTAAGGTGTCTGGCAGCTTCCCTGGGCCCTAGCCACCAAATGATGGTAGCAATACCTCCACTGCAACAACCAAAAATATCTCCAGATATTGCCAAAGTCCCTTGGGGGGCACAATTTCCCCCATTTGAGATCCACTGAATTAGGCACATTCTGTCCACCCTTTTCCTCCCCACTGCCCCTCTGTGGAGACACCAAGAGAGAACTCTGACGGGGGTTATGGGAGAGTGACTGGAAATGCGAGAAGCCACTCTCGGAGCTTGCATCATGCTGACTCCCACTCAGTGAGGCACCGGAAGCAGTTACTCAAGGGCTGGTAACCTTTACAACATTAAAAGGCAACAGGACTACTGGGCAGAGTCCCCCACCTGCAGTTATCAGTGCAGCACGCCTCAGGTAGGATACCAAGCTGGCACTTCATTTTTTTTAATCCTTACCTGAGGATATTTTTTTCCATTGCTTTTCAGAGATAGTGGGAGGAGGGGAGAGGGGGAGGGAAAGAAACATCCATGTGAGAGAGAGACATGGATTAGTTGCCTCCAACACATGAGGTATGTGCCCTTGGCAGGAATAGAAGCCAGGACCCTTCAGTCCGTGGGCCGATGCTCTAACCACTGAGCAAAACCACCTAGGGCCGAAGTCACTTATTAAGATATGCTTCCTCAATTCCTGAAATGCAGTCCACCAAGTGTGGCCTTTTTCTTGCTGACCTGCCCTAGCTACCACTGACCTTCTGTGACTCTGACACGGTATAAATGAGGGCATTTGTGATGATGAGAAATGCATGGCCCCACTACTACTTCTAACCACTGTTCCCACTCTACCACCGCCAGCACCTACTGAGCTCCTCCTGTGTCAGCTCCTCTCCTCAGCTCTTCTCACCAACTAGCTCTGGATCCCGCCCACACAGTGTGATGAACATACTATGGTTCCCACTCCCGTTGCATAGACAAATAAACCACAACACAGGGAGGTTAAGTAATTTGTGCCAGGTGACTGCAGACCCAGGGCTCACACCCACAGCCTGGTTCCAGGGCCGAAGGCGCCCATCTATTAGGCGACACTACGTCTGCCGAGCCACCAGGCACCTGCTGTCAGCATCTCTGACCTGCTGCTTCTGAACACACTCACCAGGGATTCACCTCTGGGCTTCGGCCACATTAAATCACATCCCAAACGCCCTCAACAATTGCTGACACCACCATTTTTTAAGAAACTCCAACACTAAAAAGAATTTAAAATCTGCCTTTCCATAGCTTCTGCCTTAAAATGAGAATGAAATATAACACTATCAAAAACCTTCGACTCTAGGCACGTCACCTGGGCAGGCATTTTTTTCTCTCCCAATATGAAAGGAAAAAAAAGTTCACTTTCAACTCAAGCAGCTATTTGAACCACTATTTCAAGGGGGTCCAACACAAGACAAAGATACTGCCAATAGAACATGCAAGGGCAAAGCGACACCAAGCCCATCTCTGCATCCTCACCAACTGGCACGGAGCCTGGCACAGTGCAGTGCTCAGTGAGTTGGTGTTGCACAGTATACCAATGAATGAACCAATAAACAGCAGCCTTCCCACAAATGAGGCTACATAAATTACACCTAAGTGATTAAATCATTTCTTACCTTTGTATTTTATAACTAAACCTACCAAAAACTGTAAGAGTTTTATTGCAATTTTAATGCCAGTGTTTTTGTTTGTTTCAGTCTTAATGATAATCCATTTACCCAACAAGACTATACACCCAAGAATAATTTCTAATAAAGAAATAAGGGTGAAAATATTCCTCCAAATTCCTATATAGTGATTTTTATATTTATCACTGTTTTGTAGTTATTATAACAGTAAGATATGTCCTCAGTAGGATTACAATTTTCAATTACTGACAAGCTTTTTAAAATTTTATTTGTGCTTCAAAGCCTTAGCAATAAAAACTTAATCCCAACACTACTAACAAAATTCTGTGCTCCTAAAAATTGCTATACATGACAAAGATGAGATCAAGGGAGTTGAAAACACTGAAAATGTCCCTCTGGGGAAAGTAAGACGTACAATGTCTCAGGACAGGTGCTCTGGCGGCTTCCGTATGTCTTCCCTTCCAGGAAGGCATGACAGTGGGGG